TCCAGTCACATCCTAAAGGAATCTGAGGCTTCTGGCTTTATTTCCCCCACTTCTCTTTACTTTAAAATGTGACATTGTAGCGTCTGGACTGATGCGAATAATATATGTACATGTTCCTAAATAAGGCATTGAACTTATAAAATACCAGCTTTGCAGTCACTGGGGATGGAAGCTTCCTGAAGGCATTCGCTGAATGAATAGCCCCCTTTGTCCCTCAAAAAGGGTGGCAAAAGTTTCTCTGTGTTAAGGTCCTGTGTTCTTTTCCAAACCAAAAAGAAGTTGTAGAAAGGACTGCATGTATCTCTGACTATATGTCACTGTCCCTAAGGTGAGACCCAATATTCAGCAAATCAAGGGCTTTCTGCTTCAAAAACTGTTTTTCTTTTTCTTTTCAGAATTGACCAAGGACTTGGATTTTTATTTTAAAACATCCCATTGCCATCATCAGATGACCAGCCAAATTTCTTCAGCTCCTTTAGTTTGCAGTCTGCAGAGAGTACCGGTTGCTGGACATATCCTGTTCATCACGATCAGGATAATAATAACACATCTTTTGCCCCAAAAGACAGATCCACATAAGTACTTTTTAATTTGGTTCCCAAAGGCAAGATGTTTTTCCGCAGCTGTCCAGGGCCCTACAAAAGGCAACATTTCCTGCCATAATACTTACTACCACCCTACTGAATATAATGGTATAATGCAAGATCCCTTTTAGACATCTGAAATCACTTTTGTTTTGCTTCTTACAACATTGCTTCCACAAATCTCTTCCACAGATCTCTTCCCTGTTCACTTCCAGGGAGTAAAATTCCCCAGGAGTCTCCGTGCAGAAGCACAGGGAGACCCCTGAAAAGAACAAAAAACAGTTTTGCCAGGAATAAAAGGAAAGCACTTCTCTCCTCCCCTGACCCAGCCAAAGAAAAAGAAAAAAATAGTATGTTTTATAACCCCAACAATCAAGCTGTGCCAGTTCCCCTCATTATTTTAAGCTTGCAAGAAAAGATAGTGTATTCAGACATAATTATTCAGACATTGTCCTCCAGCACTGGATCCCAAACTGCAAACAAGTTTTGTTGTTTTCAAGGCCCCCACCCCCCACCCCATCTGGATCACACCTAGACATTTTCCAGTACAATCATAGGTAAAAAGGAAACTTACGAATTGTGTCACGGAGAAAGAGATGGTTTGGAGGAGAAGGCAGAATTTGAGGCTGCCCAAAAAACTAGCCATATCGAGGTCTTCAGGCTAGCTGGATGAAAAGTGGGGGCCCGCCAGCCCCTGAATGACTAAATCTTTAGACCCAACAGGAGCAGAGAGAAAGGCAGAAGGGAGGAGATGGTGGGTCATTAATATGTAGTATTTTGGTGAAAGGGGAGTTAATGACCTGGCTGGGAACTCCCCTCCCAGCCCACTGACATGTGAGACGAGAGGAGCTGGCCTCAAAGGTGGAATTCATGGGCCAGGTGAAGGGAAATTACTGTAGGCATCCTGCCCTTTTGTCTCCTCTTGGACTGTGGGAAAGTATAAAACATTCATTATTCAGCCCTGTTTAGGGAATTTTTTTATGACTGGTGTTTTAATGTATTTTTAATCTTTTCTTGGAAGCTGCGAAGAGTGACTGGGGATACTGAGCTAGATGGGCAGGGTATAAATAAATTATTATTATTATTATTATTATTATTATTATTATTATTATTATTATTATTATTATTATTTTCCTTAGCACAGAGGTGGGAAACCTGTGGCCTTCCAGGTATTGTTTGACTAAGACACTGAGGGCTTTTTTTAGGGAAGCACTGTTTAGGAAAGTTTTTAATGACTGATGTTTTAATGTATTTTTAATCTTTTGTTGGAAGCCGCCCAGAGTGGCTGGGGAAACCCAGCCAGATGGGCAGGGTAGAAATAATAAATTATTATTATTGTTTTTTAAATGAATTTTCACTGGTGATGAGGGGGGTGAACTCAAAATGGCAATTTAAAATCATGCAAAGGGTATTTTTTAATCTTTATTTAAATAAACAAGTACCACAAGGCATTCATTTAAATTAAATTAAATTGTAAATTACTGTGATTTAAATAAACTGCGCATTTAAAACTCCACAAATCCAAAATATTTTATTTTATTTTATTACAAAATCCTGCTGAACATAAACCTATGGAACAGGCCTTCGTCATCTCCCGCCTCTGGTTGAAAGAAAGTAAAGTACAGCGGACTAGGCTGTACCAATCCCATTCAGAGCTATGTTTAGCTATTCATTAACTGCTTGTGTTGTTATACCTCTTCGCAGGTTGCCTGCTACAAGGTTATGCAGGGACACAATTCTTTCTGTTTGCACTGAGCGTGGTGAGGGAGCTGCAATTCCAAAAGGTTTTGCACCGTGCCAGAAGATGTGGGCAGCAGCTGGTGAAGACATGCAGACATTGAACAGCCTATATCACTCCCTTGTGGGATGTGGGACACTGCAGAAATTATTTGCCACTTGTCAGGTGCTTCCTTCCTTAGGGCTCATCCCCACTTCTGCTTGTCCCATGCTTTCGAGGTTTCTCATTTGCCCTGCTGCTTTCCTAGGAAAACCCGCTGTTTACTGCTCAATCCAAACAAATGTCAATTGGGTTTTCTGTAGACTGAAGGTTGTTCTGATTCAGCAATAAATGGGATTTTCCTGGGGAAAGTGGTGGGGCAAATGAAAGCTCTCTAACCCATGCCTAGAAAACATGGAACAAGCAGAAATGTGGGTGAGCCCTCGGAGGGGGGATTCCCCTTCCCCAGCATATTCACTCCTATATCTTCTTTTTCTCTAGAAGGTGAAGGCAATATTATAGGAACTGGACTAGGACCTGGGAGACCAGGTTTAAATTTACCACAAAACTAATGGTGAGACCTTGGGCCAATCACTCTCTCAGCTTAAACCAGAGTTGCTGTGGGGAAATGGAAGACCATGAGTGCCACGTGAACTCCTTGGAGGAAACCAATAGTGGCGGGGTTTTTTAATGTAATAGAGAAGATCTCCATCTTGTCTGCCCTTGTCCCTGAAGTGGAGCAAGGCTTGAAATACAACAAAAACGAAGCAAGCTTGGTGTTGAAGCCATAAAACCTGCCTGAGTGTCCGTCTTAAGATGGACAATGGGAACTGCTAGGTTCATATTTTTATTGCTGCAAACTGCCTTGATATTTTTGTTTATGCTAGAGGTATATAAATATACCTCTATTTATAAATATACCTCTATTTATATGCTAGAGGTATATAAATATACCACGTAAAGGGACGTGGGTGGCGCTGTGGGTAAAAGCCTCAGCGCCTAGGGCTTGCCGATCGAAAGGTCGGCGGTTCGAATCCCCACGGCGGGGTGCGCTCCCGTTGCTCGGTCCCAGCGCCTGCCAACCTAGCAGTTCGAAAGCACCCCCGGGTGCAAGTAGATAAATAGGGACCGCTTTCTAGCGGGAAGGTAAACAGCGTTTCCGTGTGCGGCTCTGGCTAGCCAGAGCAGCGATGTCACGCTGGCCACGTGACCCGGAAGTGTCTCCGGACAGCGCTGGCCCCTGGCCTCTTGAGTGAGATGGGCGCACAACCCCAGAGTCTGTCAAGACTGGCCCGTATGGGCAGGGGTACCTTTACCTTTACCTTTATATAAATATTTTTAATAAACAAATAACTAAATAATATGATGAGAATGTAAACCTGTACAATTATTTTGGAAAATGGTGTTTGAAAAAGTTTCTGCTATTGTGCGAGAGGTGATACTGCCTGGTCTGAGGCTAGCTTTAGAATGTAGTTCTTATGGAGAAAACTGAAAGACAGCATTTCAGAACACCAAGACCAAAGATGATTTTGAAACTGTGTGGTAGCTGTTTATTCAAAACACTGGAAAGGTCAATATACCGGTACCCTCAGCACCCATGGCTCACTCTGGGTCAATCTGTTAAGATGGAGAGTTAAAGACACTTAACTGATATAATCAACTCTGTGACAGCTGGGGCTAATGGGAGTTGTAGTCCAAAACATCTGGAGAAACCTAAGTTGGGGAAGGCAGGTCTAAAGCGTCTCCTGCATTGCTATACACATTCAACAGTCTTCCCTACTACCAACCACTTGTGACACTGCCTCTGTGTTACTCACTTTTCCTATAGTGTCGTTTCTTAATTAATCCAATTAGCACCTCAAATTGAGACTTCTGGGATCTGAAAGCTCAGTGCACACGCGCGCACACACAAAAACATTGTGTAGGTTTTTAGTCTTGGAGGGCAGCAGTATTACAGTTTGGAGTATAAAAAGCTGAGGAAGAAATTCAATTCAATTCAGTTTGTACTTGGAGGTCCATATACCTAATTTGCACTTCCCAAAACAATACATGCGCTTTGAAATTCCCACTTGGCCAACTTTTGCAGTGAAGTTTTCCAACCAAATAACGTGTGCAGAAATGTTCGTATGCCTTCTGCAGTGTGCAGTCTGCAACATCTGCAGTATGCAGCCTACACTGGCAGGCAGCAGCTCTCCAGGGCTTCAGCAGGGCTCCCTCTCGGCCCTGACTGGAGATGCTGGGAATTGAGCTTTGGGCATCTGACAGGCAAAGCAGCCCCCCTTCCTCCAAAATTCCCCTCCCCTCCATGGATCAACACAGCAGCTTCCACTTCTCCTGAAACAAAAACCACTTTCCTCTTCCCCCGCCCCCAACCCATTTACCCCCCCCCCCGCCGCCCTCATTCATTCACTCTCCCGTTCATTCATTCTTGCCTCACCCTTTCCCCCACCGACTTCGCTCCGCCCCTAGGATTTGATTGGCTCTCCGTTCGACGCACGCGGCTCTGCAATCCACTCGTCGAATAAACCGAGGTTGACGGGTTTAAAGTATACACAGTATGTATATAAAAAAAACCCTCAGAAAGCCGGTGGGCGGGGCTTATATCACAGCCCCGCCCACCTCTCCCGGAAGCGTCTAGCGGCGCTATGTGTGTGCGTGTGCGTGTGCGCGCGCGCGCGTTGCGCTGCCAGGAGGCGGCGCCGTCAGTCGCTGCCTGGAGACGCGCGCACGCGCACGTCTTTTTCCTCTTCCCCCCTTCCTTCCTCTTTTCTCTTTCTTTCTTCCTCCCTTCCCTTCCCTTCCCTGCCCGCCTCTCTCCGTACCTTGACAACGTCCTCCTTCGCCACCACCACACCGGGGGCTAGGGGTCTTCGGGCTCCCCCTGCTTCCCTTTGAGGGGCCAGAAGGGCTTTGTGTGGGAGGGGAGAGCTGCGGCTGAGGGGCTTTTTGTATTATTATTTTTTTGGGGGGGGCGTCCTTTGCTGGAGTTTTAGGCGGGGTTTTAAAGTGGCCACAGGCACCGCCCGTCCCCTCCCCCCCCCCGAAGGTGGCGGTGGGAGGCTCCGGAGTCCCTCAGGAAAAACCCCTCTTGAGTCGCCCAGGGTCGAAGGTACACCTGAGTGCCGGCACTGCATGTATATCTGAGGAAAGAGAGGTATTTATTTGCCAGGTGCTTGGCAGGTCCTGTAGGGCCCCTTCTGTCGTGTCTGCCGGTGAAGGGGGAAGAAGAGGTGTGCTTGGGACATGCTTATCTACTTTCAGGGGTGACCCTTCGCTGGTCTAGGTTTGCGGAGGTAGCAAGGGCATTCAGACGTGCCTTTGGGGAGGCTGTTTTGGAGCCTTGGTTTCCAGAGAACTTGCCTGGGTAGGGAAACCTAGGGGACTGTCAATTGAGGTGGTGGTGGTTGGGGGAGGAGGAACTGGCAGCTGCAGCTTATTTAGTTTTGGTGTTGGGTTTTGCTTCTTATGTGGAAAGGGGGGAGCCTGACCTGGCCTGTGCTTTCGGTTCGGGAAGTGCTAGAGGGATGCTGTGACCAGAGGGAGGCCGCAGAGAGGCTTTATTACGGAGCGTAATCCTTTGTAGCATGTTAGCGTGCTTCTGGGATATTATTTCAATGGGAAGGTCTGTGGAGGGGTTAAAAACTGTGTGACAGTCAGTTGGGGAGGAGTGCTCGGCTCAGCACTGCAGAAGGCCTTTTTGGCAAAGAGCAAGAGGGGAAGTTGCATTGTTGGGAGCTGAGAGGCCGTTTTCTCTCTAGACCAAGATCTTGATTATGTAGAAGGGTGTGAGCTGAATTTTAGGGTGGGGTGCACTTTATCAGAGGTGTGGAGTGAAGGAGCCTGGAAAGGCCTGCTTTAGAGAGCTAAAGGAAGGAAAGGACATCTCTCCCTTTTTATTTTTTTATATATTTTTTTGCACTCTTGCGCAGCCATCTCTTATCTGCAATGACAGGCAAATCGGTCCGGGATGTGGATAGATATCAGGCTGTCCTTGCCAATCTGCTGTTGGAAGAGGAGAACAAATACTGTGCAGACTGTCAGGCCAAAGGTAACATGCGGAACCGGTGAACGTATTGTGGGGTTGGGGAAAACTCTGAGCTTAGCCTTACCATAGGGAACTGTGTGGCAACGAGTAGGTGGAATAAGATTGTGCCACTGTTGGTGGATGATGATTATATCTTTATTGGTGTGTGCCAGAGTGTGTTAATATGCATATGTACATAATATGCATACATAATATACAAATACATGTAAGGATTTTTTAATTAAAAAGTTACTAAAAGCATTATATAAGTGTAAGCAGCAAATGCTGTCAATTTCAGGTCATCTTCATTAATACTGTGTCGTATCAGGATGAGACTTCCTCTTAGGCAGAAGCATGTACTGCAGGTTTCTTTGTCAGAAATTCTAGCTCCTTGGATGTATGCGCTTGTATGCCTCTTGAGTTGGATGAGGGAGGAAAAGCAAACAGGTGGTGAAAATGGTCCCTGATGCTGGAAAAATCAAGTGGCGGTATGAAAGGAAGGTTGCTGGTAGGCTGGCTGGCATTTTTGTAAAGGGGGGGAGGGAACCCACGCCTAATGCAGGGGGTACTGCATGCAGTTGGTTACATAATGGCATCAACTGGGCAAATTGACAGCACAGACTGTATTATAAATTCTGTATCTAAAGAAGGTACATTGGGGATGAATTCTTTCTGGAGGCTGATAAGTCCAGATCACATGGGAAGGCCGCATCAGAAAAGAGAAGGGAAGGATGATTCACAAAAAATACAGATTTGGGAAATGTATATGTGAGCCATGGACAGCATCTGTCTACTGGAGTCTAGCATTATGTACTCCCAGGCTCCTGTTAACATTCCTGTGTCTCAGCTTCCTGTTAAATGCCTTAACTTTTTAGCTCTTCGGGTTGTAAGGAAGTTTTAAAAAAACTTAGTGGCTGGAAGGGTCGCAAACAAACATGTTGGTAAGGCAGCTCAAGATTTATTCTGAATGCCTCTGGTTACTAAGATCTATTCAGAGTTCTCAGGAAGGCTGACTCATGATATCCTCAAAAACTGATTTTGGAAAACTCTTTGGAAGGGGATTGCCATATCTGGAATGCAGAAGATGATGCTTCCTCCTCTAATCAAGCTAGCTAGAAAAATGGAGCATGTTTGGCTTCTTTCATATATCTTTGCCCCCTTACTTCTGCTGCCCAGTGCTGTTTGCTCTGCAGTAACCATTCTGAAAACACTCTGCTTGTGTTCCTGGAAGCAGGACCCAGTGGCCTTCTGGTTGTTTTCATGATGCAAGGCTCCGAAGCTTATGGTTAAGAATAGTAATATAGATTACAATTGAGAATCCAGTATAAACTAAACATGTTCCAACAAACTCTGCTCTGGGGTCTAGTGGCACTTTGCAAAGTACAATGCAAAATTGGGAAAAGATTAGCTGCAGTCCACATTGCCCAACTCTAAGCAAAGAATGTTTTGGCTCAGTTGGTTTGGTCCCATCTGTGCTTTAAGCAGAAGGATTCCTGTATTTTGGAAGTCAAGTGGATTTCTTGGTGGATGTTGATGGCTTGAAGCTTGAGTTACCAATGATTTAGGTCATCCTGCCCCAACCTGGTGCTCTTCAGATGTTTTAGATTATGAATTCTCATGGGGGTTCATAGTCTTGGAGGGCACCAGGCTGGGAAAGGCTGATTTAGGTTTTGCCCTTTTCACTCTTTGTGCTGCACCAAACTTCATAGCTTCTAGGCTGGGCTACAAAGAACATGTGAAGAATGCCCATGTGTTTGCAAACAGAATTGGGTCATTAAATTGATTGGAAGCTCAAGGCTGGTGGCAGGGGTAATACCCCTTCACAAAACACATCCTAAAAATATGGAATTCATTGCCACAAGTGATGGTGAAAGGTTAAATGGAGGCAGTATAACTCTGAATACCAGTCGCTAGAGGAATGATTTCTGTCTTGCTCTGCTTGTCTAAGGGCATCTTGTTAAAAATGTGCTGGCATGTTTGAAATGAACCATTGATTCATATCCGGCATAAGATCTGTGTACAGTATGTCTGAGGGAGAAGCTTCTTGTAAAGTCCATAGGCACTTCTTATGTTATCCCATGTCAATAAGGGTTCAGGTCTATAACACCAATGACCAATATTGCTGAAGACCTTTGCTTAGTTTCTCTTTGCCTGCCTCATATTTCTGTCCACTTCCTGTTTTTCTGAGTTTCCTTTCTTCATTTGCATAGCTTCCTGTGTGCTCATAGTCCTTGACTCCAAGCAGCCTACGCTAGCCTCCCCGTGGTTGAGCGTTGGAAGATATTTCTATGACAGTTCCCTGAGAAGCCAAGACTGATAGTTTTGCTCTCTATGATACTTGGCTGAAACCGCTTTCTAAAAGGTTCCCTAAAGTCTGTACAGTATTTAATATCCACTTCCTGACCTGCCAGCATTCGTTTTTGAGTAGCCCATAAAACAGCAAGCTACCTTGGTGCTATAATTAATGTAAAATTGAAGTGTGCCATTAAAAATGTAAAATGCACCACACAGCTAACAAATTTCAAACAGCCAGTTTCCCCGCAAAACTGTACAGAAAATTTAAAAAGCATGGAGACAAAAAGGAAACAAAAGTGAAAAAGGATGTCTAGCACGAGAAGAAAGCTGGTTAGGTTTGACGAGGGAAGTCTGCGGTTAATACCTGATAGATTCATGATTTTCAGACTGTGATCAGGGACTCTTAGGATTCTAAGGGTGTCTTATAGCAGTTCTGGATCCTTAGTACCTAGGTCAGTAATGGTGGACAACCCTTCCTTGTGTTGTGTACTTCTAGGATCCATTCACAGATATGCTTGCCTTTTTGCAGAGTAAACGGCAAGACCAAACAGACTTTGCTATCATCTCACATGGGCTGTGTATGTGACCTCAGACATTTTCCAGAATCCTCTGTATCGTGTAGGATGTTTTCCCTCACCTTGGTGGGGCTTCCAACTTCACAGGTGAACTTAGTCAAAAGTGCAGAACCTCAGACTGGAATTATAAGTGAGTAGAGCCTTAGGTGGAGAGATATGGGTGGGGGAAGAGACCTTTTGCAGTTGCCTGAGTTTGACTTAAACTCTCCTTGGTAATGTGGGTTTTTTTCCATTTGTCTTCAATGGAACAGTCTCCTGAGCCATGTTTTGACATTGAAATGACACCTGGCCAGATAATTGACTGTGAAGATTGCTATGCACATCCACAGTGTGCTCAATTTAAATATCTCTTGGGATGACTTCGTAGATAGGGTTTTCTTAATGCTCACTGCTTGCTTCCCTGCCATATTTTGGGCCTGAAACAATTTCTCCCTTGGGCCATATTAACAACCCTAATTTGGGGATTTGGCTGCTGTTGGTGGGGTGGCAGGGGGAGAGAGAGGGAGTGGTATGCCTTTTGTTGCAGAGAGTTGGTCTTCTTCCTTAAGTTATCTGAATATACTCTTCTATTTCGCTTGCAGCACTCTTGTTCTTTCTGCTTATAATACTACATTTTGCGGTCTGGTTTGCATCCTCCACAGTAAGGGCTTATGCAGGCTAGTTAAGCAGAACTTTATTTACATACTGCTTAATGCTAAATTTGGCTTCTAATTGGTTTACAAAATATAAATATGGGGACTGCAGAATTGGGGACATTAGCATTTGAGTTGAATGCTGGCAGAAGCTGAACCCTGTTGGAGCAGCACACTTTACTCTGGATACAATCACATCAAGAGTCTGGTTTTAGGAAAGTAGGAAAGATATTTATTATTGGAATAAATGTTGGATAGGAAAGATGCTAGTTCTGTCTTGTTAAGGGAGGGAAGAGAAGTAGGAAGTAAGATCAGGTCAGCAATTAATAAGAATAAGAATAATCCACCCTTCACCCTAAAATCCCAGGGCAGGTTACATCATTAAAAACACTAAAAACCTACAATCATACAAATAAGGTGGGTCCTTAAAACGTGCACCTCAAGTGTCAAAAGCCAGGGTAAAAAAGTGCATCTTCAGCATTCTCCAGCAACTGTATAATGAAGTTGCTAGATGCACCTCCATAGGGAGGCAGTTCCACAGATTAGGGCTCACCACAGACCATGCCCTCTCCCGGGCGTCCACCCCCTGCCTGAGTCTCTATGAAGGCAGAGGAACTACCAAGCTGGTCGTCTTTGCCTATCTCAGAACCCAAGAGGGTCTCTAAGGAAGAAGGTGGTCTAAGTTACCAGTAACACTAAAGGAAGAACAACCCAGGTTGGGATAAGGACAGTCTAGGAAACTTGGCGCTTTCTCATGCAGATGCATTGGCCTACAGTGCAAGCTAGGTTGCACCCCAGTACTTCCAAGAGGTTCATCCTGATCAACATGGAGTGAAAATTAGTGATTTAGCCAGAGCCCCTGGCAGAAGTCAGAAGATGAAGGTGGTACAGGAAGGTTGACCCCCCTCCCGTGTTCCTCTTCTGTACATAATGGTCATTGAGATTTTGTCATTTTTAAAGCACTTTCCCACTTGGATAATGGTCAGGCTTGTAGCAATTTTGTTTCATGGGAGGTTGCATTTGGCTTGAACCTGTGGTTTTGTTTTTCTAGCGATTGCAACTGGGGCATAAGGCAGCACAAACGCTGCCACAGCAACCTTGAAGAGGGAAAGATACCTTGTAGAAGTGGGATGGCAGTGAACGAGGAGGTTTTATGCCTAAGCAGGCATATAGACTTCAGTGCTGAGAAAATGGGACAAAGGCAACAACAGAAGATTAATCAGATTGTGCGTAACATGGCTAATTGCAGGGTGTCCATTTGTGTGTATACCTAAGGTTGTTCTTTTGGCTTTGAGCAAACTTGATCGCCTGCCTGCCTGCCTGCAATACTTGCGTCTGAGTGAAGGCAGTTTGCGGGGCTGTTGCTGTGTTCTAACATTTATGTAGTGCAGAATGTGCTCGATGCTGTACATATCGCAGTGATGATGACTGTTCTTTTGCAAGATGAGCAGCCTGACCCACTGATTGCAGTGGAACATACTCCCAAGTCGGTAGCCCAAATTTTTGGTAATTAAGAACTTGA